AGAAACTCCTATGGATTATCACGTCAATCGCCCGTTGAAAAATTGGCTAGTGAACAGAACCTTCGAGGATGACCTGATGTCTGACGTCAAGGCGTAGATCGTCTCCAAGTTCAGTAATTCTTCGTCTGTGGAATCCGACTTTCTAGAGAATGGGAAGTGGTGCTTGACGTAGATGATGGATATGTTCCGGAATAATTATTTGAACATGTCTCCGCTGAAGATTTCTATCGTTTCTTTGAGTAAAAATTGCTGCAGAAAATCCGTAATAATCATGCATCAACCTAATATATTAGAGCAGTACACTCCAGGGAGAGTACTCTCAAAATAGTAGGCCATACCTCTCAAAATAGTAGGCCAAACCAGGTTTTGATTAGAGCAGTACACTTCAGGGAGAGTACTCTCAAAATAGTAGGCCAAACCAGGTTTTGCTTCGAGAACTGAATAAAAACAGGTCTACTGAATAATAATCTACTCAGGCTACCTCGTCGGAGATTCACTGACTTGGGCTGATCTGCTGGTGGCTGAGGCAGCCACATGGACCAAACAATTCCCTAATCTCTATGATGGTTTTCCAGAGGTGATTTTCACATATATCCAAGTTTACCTTAGTACAACTGATGTTAGAGATGACGAAGGCAAAATAATATTTCAGATGAAAGCTCATGCTGAGAAGATCCGTTCAATTCCAGCACTGAAGAAATGGATAGAAACTCGCCCAGATACTCTTTGTTAAATGGTTATAGATATTGTATTGTATGGTGACAATAAAACACAGCTTTCTTTCCACAAACATGACCTTCAAAGAGTATTCTACTTCGAGCCACATCACCTCGGCCAAAGTCGCCAAGTGTGTAGACTTTGAGAATATGCTAACGACTACAAGTGCCTCCAAAGGTGAAATGGAACTTTATAAATCACGAACTTGGCCTATGAACGGTTTTCTGGTGGTCTACAATGCCGTGGAAAGGCAGTGCTACCCCATGAACTAGGCCAATGAACTGTCAGTATATCTCCTTTTTACCCGAAAGAGCTCACACATAAGAGAAAGGAGCATTTCCAAGGTTAGTATGCCGGCGTTTTTCCAATCAGAGAACACCCAAGAATGACATAACAGTTGATTACACTATAGGTTCTTCCGAGAAGATTGTTAATAGAACATTTACAAGCGTGTTATACCTGATGAAATGTTGGATGTGTGGATGAGTACACATTAAGTAGACTGGACAACAACTAATTAAACGAATTAAAGAACACCTGTTGTAAAATGGAAAGCAGAGATGAGTGCACATCTATTTATAATTAACTGCTTTCTGCCATACGTACTGCATTGCGAGCTTTATCCCAGAAGCTTAACGACGTGATTTTGTTTATTATCGAAAACATAGAAGAAACAGTAAGTTCATTCCTCTACCCACCTCCTTCTCTTAAACTTCGTAATCACTTACCAACTGACTAGAAATCCTTCAGTGAGATACAGCCTTCACTGAAGAAGATCCGTATAATACCCTAAATAATAAAGTGAATGACGTAAAATTTATAAATCTCGGCACCCCGGCTTGTTCGAGGAAGCATTCTTTCACTGTAAAGGGTGAGCTAATCCTCGGAAATAACATCATTAAGGAATCGGAACGATATATTCAAATAGCTCATTCGAACAGCAACCCGGAAACTTGCTAGCTGTTCCGAGGGCAGTGCTTAGCTCATGAATTTCTCAAAGAGAAAAATAGTAATGGATTCAAAGTTTATTACAATCATGTGAGCTGCCTATTACATAGCAATCCCCAAAGCCGTAAATGTAGCCATTTCTACTGATTATCATGCCATTCAACGCATTTTGCTCTATTCAATACATATAACTATGTATTACGTGGGCTCAACAAGGAGTTTCAGAAGCATTTGCACTTTATAGAGTATCCAATGCATGGCACATCGTTATGAAAAACAAAATATAATACATTTTATGGAATTAATATACATTTCCTCATTGGCTCTTATCATAGCCCAACCTCAATGAAAAATGGCTGGATAGACTAGGTAAGGGTAAGTGAGATGGAAGTTCTAGAACCACAGATCCTTGAAGTGAGCATGGCGACAAGTTAATTGAGAAACAAGGTGAATACTGGCATTAGAGTAAAAAGAGTAGGTATACACATGATGAAAGCTGCGTTCCATCGAGGCCTCCTCCATGGTGGTGTCGTAGCGGGGTGTTGTAAATCATATATCCGACAGCAGTCCAACCCACAACAATATTCTTCATAGCGTTTGCATCTGAATCACAACTGTGTTCAGCTCCGCCCTCGGTAGATGTTAAGCCCCTTTACCAATGACTTCATGGCGAAATTAGGCTCTCCTATCATATTAATAATATGCTTCCGGATGTTTGCTAATGAGCGATAATGCCTCAAAAAAATAGAAAATTATGAAGTGATTTTGTCTCAGGCGAAGAAAGGTTACAGCAGACTGCAGACTCCACACGAGGATCGCTTGTTATTTCAACTCACTGGTAGATGATATCATATATTGGTAGACCGTCCTCGTAGACTAAATTTCTCCGTTCCGTTTCGTTCATTCGATATGCACAAGTGTCCCGAGCAACCCAGTAGTAGTCATTGTCCTGAAAGTGAGATTCAATTCTCAATCGGGAAGGGGTGGAATAGATGAGAGGTTAAGGTGATCCTCTCTTTCCTCACAGAAAAAAACTTCATTCAGAATGATTTTTGCAATGAACTGCACGCATTTTCACGAGACAGGCCTCAGATGATATTCAATAAAGTCGTGAAGCAGGATAAACTTACCATGCGATAGTATCGGTCACCAAGCCAATAACTTCGACGTGTCTTTTCCACAAAAGTCCGATCGTTGAACATCTTTACACGCCAGATGGCAAATCCATCAAGAAGTTGCTGAGTGATGATGCGATAGATTTCAGCGTTTATCACGTTATTCCCATCCGTAGCCGGTGTCCCCGACAAGGACCTGAATTCCGATTTGATTAATTAGCAATTCTTTTCGAGAAAGGGAGAAATTAGTCAAAGCTTTGATTTGCCGCTGCAGACTACTTAAAAACACCCGGCCACCCCTGTACTTTGCCCAGGTCAAGCAACCTTTCATTCATCTGGTAGACTTCTCCCTACTAGCCGATTCACATAAAACTATTTTCTGCATAGCAGTAGAATTTCTAAGAGAAGATTAATATCTTTGATTTTCTTATGACCGGAAGAATCGTTGAAATGAAGAATTTCTATTTTT